TTTATTCACATTTTTTGCATAACTTACATATGGCTTTGAAATATACTCAAAACACAGCTAAAAAGGTTGGTCAAATAGGAATGAGAGACTGTTATAAAGTTTACCCAAGTGCACCATGCAGATAAGCACCAGAGTAGAGAAAGACTCAGAAATGAGCCTGTAAGCATGGGTCTTCTGTTTCACTTCCTTCTGTCCCAAGTAGTTGCTAAAGTAATTAACAGTTAGGAAGGCTGTGATCACCGTACCTGAGGCAGTAAAATCTCATGGTGGGGACTTGTAATTTATCACAGGCAGTAAAGGCTAACAAATTATACTGTACTAAAAGATCCATTGCCCAAGAGTATAACCCAGAAGACACCACTGAAATAAAACCTTTATTATTATTTTCCCCTGAAGAAGAGAGGATATTATTTAGTCTAGTGGATGTTTCTAGTGATTATATTTTTATATCATATTTTTTGATTTCTTCAAAGCAAATTCTAGGTTGGCTTTAATATTTTCAGAAATGTACCCTTTGTCTTTCCTTTATTTCCCATCTTGCTGTCACCTCTATCTCAAGGGGGCTTTTCCAGTGTTTGAAGAGAGTATTCAGTTTGATCTGTTTTGCAGTTAGAATGGGAAAGTGATGTTAATGTTTGTACTCAGTCACTCAGTTAGAAGTCAGCCTTCTCATTTTAATAGTAAAATGTGCATCAAAAACATCAACTATAGACTTCAGTGCTGCATATTTGGAAATTACATGTTAAGTAGCCTACTACTGCATTTAAAACAATTTCTAGATTTCCCCATCATACTACCCTCTAGTACAGTGGTGGCAAACCTACAGCATATGAATTATTTGTTTTTCTTTTAAGACAAAAGGTGATATGGTTTGTGTCTAGATGTCCCCCAAGGCCTCATGCAGTCATGGGGTGGCTTCTAGAGTTTATGATTATTGATTCATGGTCCAATGCTGGGATTATGGGTGTGAGCGCTACAATTGCCCTGGGGCAGGTAGCTTGCATACAATATAAGGGAGGGAAAGAGACTTGCTTTCTGCTGCTGCTCTTCCCTTTTTGCTCTTGTTGCTTTTGCTGTTTTTGTTGCCATGAACTGTTACTTTCTACCACTTACCACTCTGCCTTGGAGCCAGCCAAGTATGGACTGAAACCTCCACAACTGAGCTAAATAAACCTTTCCCTCCTTAATCTTGAGCATCAGGCATTTTGTCCCAGCAATGAGAGAAAAATAACCAAGACAGTGATAATGCATGAGTTTATTTATTTCTAAATTGATACCTCAGTATTTAGGTTTAATTGCAGTGTTGGCACTTTGCAACAAATAAATGGATTTTGAGTTGCAGTTTGGGCACTCATCTCTGAAAGTTTGCCATCACTGTAACAGTTTCTTGTTAGAGGCATTGAAATTATTCATGACCAGTCTGGGTAAATTTATTGATACTGGGGAAAATATTTATTAGAAAACCCAAGAATTCTGCTCTTAAGAAATAAAACTATCTGAAGATATGGGCTCCTAAAACTTCACAGGCCCTTGGTCATGTCAGCTTTCAGTATCTACATCTATTCTCTTTCTAAATGCTACCTAGAAAGGGGAAAAGATAGGGGAAAGATATCACTTATTTTGCCTCCTTTCTGTGCTTATCATTGGAACAGGTTGCAAACCTTGCTTTTGTTGGTTTAGATTTTATTTTGTTCCTCCCACTTAACCAGGGTTGCTGGCACATCACACATCCTCTTGCTCTTGTGGACAGGAATAAGGACAGAAGTGTCATGGAGAGCATGATGGACATACAGACCTCAGCCCAGACCCGCTGCTCAGGATATGCAGGGAAACATGATCCCCAATGGTTCCCTTTCCTGTTCAGTTCTGCAGGGAGCTGGTATCTGATTGTGTGACTCAGCTAGTGCTATGTTAGGAGATACTAGTGTTTAGGGTTGTTGGCAAGTTTGCAGTTTGAAGGAATGTCCTTTGGAAGAAAACAACAATAACAAGCAGAGACTTGGAAACAAAGAAGTTACTGGGGAGTTATACAAGACCTGAGTTACAGTCTGAAAGTAAGATCCGAGGCAGCTCAAGAGACTGACTCCCTCTGTCCCCAGCTTTGTTTCCTGGGTTCCTCTCCATTCTCCTCCCTCCTCTGACCACATATTGGGGCTTCCTCAGAGCTTCTGCTGCCTTATCACCTTGGCTTCCCCCGGGCGCATTGTAATCCCTCCACCCACTTTTCCCATCACCACCTGCTTTTGCCTTCAGCTCACACTGACGCCTGATTTCCTCCATGTTTCCCAAACCAAATTCACAAGAGATGGGAACTGACTGGCCCAAGCCAAATACCATCCCCTCCCACAACAAAACCTGCCATTCCTTTCCTAGGAGGTTAGGAGGCACTTGAAAGTAGAACTTGCAAACTTCACACTGAGTGTGGCATAGCAGACAAGCAGAAGAGAGCAATAAGATGTGCAGAATCTGGGTTCAGATGTTCATCAGAACTCGCATTCCTAGTGGGTTGACTGGCTGCGGCTTGTGTGATGTTATTTAAGCTAGTCACTTGGCTCTCCTAGCCTCAACTTCCATATCAGTAAAATAAGAGAAGAATTGGACCAACCTCATGGGCTCATTGTGAGACTCAAGCAGGCCCATACACCTGGAATGCTTCATGACCTCATAAAGGCTTTGCAAATCATCAGCTGCTGCTCTACTGATTATAGTAGGTGCTTGGTAAATGCCAGTCCCTTGGGCAGCCACTGGGCAGGGGTGCTGGAGGTCCCAGGTTTAGCCAACTGCATTAACTTCCTTGTCCATCAGGACTTTCATAAGAGCTGCTAACAGGCAAGAAAATTACTGGGCTTGAGTTGCGCCTCCTCCCCCTAACTGGGTCACCTTCTAGAGGAGGTGCTAATGAGCAGTGAAACGGCCAAAAGGTGGGCAGTCTGGAAGGTAGAGGAGGCAGCCAGGGGTTTGAGCACCCCTCCGCTAGATAGATAATCATCAAGTCCTTCTGCTAGGTAACTAGGTGTCCCAAGGCACATTTGGCACAAGAGGAAAACGGTCTGTGCAAGGTTAGGCATAGACAACCTGATTCAGGAAGAACTTTGGAAAAAAAGTCTGAAACTCCCCCCTCCCTCACTGTAAAAATAAGCTTCAATCCTCCTGCATCCAGCCCGGGTGTCTCACTAGCTACTCTTCCTCTTGAGCCAGTTCTATTTTTACTGATCACCTTCTTGACAGAAATATTAAGCCACAGAATGTTCCTGGCAAGTGGTACCCTCACTGCCTTCAGCAGTGGATAGACATGAGTCTTCCAGTCTAGGCCAGTGGCCAGACAGGCAAGCCCAGGAAGGACAGGCCCAGGGTGCTGGCTGCTTCCCAGACACCAGAGCAGCCAGTGACATCACAGACCACCCTGTCTTGTATGTGCTTTTCCTTACCATCCACGGTGCTGACTCAAGGAGTCTGGGGGAGAATGAGCCTGGTAGCCCCACTGTTCACTAGCCATGTTTGCCAACAACTCCTCAAGCCAAGGGCAGACAGACCAGTGGCTCTTAAAGCAGGCTATGCTTGTGAAGCACCTGCTGCCACCCTTGAAAATCTGTGTGCTGTTAGTTGAGGTAATGCGTCCTCAGCACTTTGTATTTAGTGTTACTTATCTCAGTATTGGTAACCCTGCACCTTACAAATGACAGCCAGATCTCATAAAGATTGAGTGGTATTGGGAGCAATGTTGTACTTGGTGCTGTGGTTACCCTGCTGTGGCTCTGCTGACATTAAATCAGAGACTCTTGTGGGGAGGAAAAGAAGCATCTCCATTAAGGAGGTTCATTAGAAGAGGGCAGAGTGGGGGCACAGTGCAGTTTGGAAAAACCATGAAGTGGGTTGGATGCCAACCCTGTTGTTATGGTTGGAGTTCAGCATGTCTGCCTAGCAGACTCATTGTGTTGAAGGCTTGATTACTGATGGGGCTTTGGGGGAAGTGACTGGATCACGAGGGCTCTAACTTCATGAGACCATAATTTGCTGGCATTATTGGGACGTGAAGGAAACAGGAGGCAGTGTGGAGTTGAAGGGAGCAGAAAGTGGAGGTGTGACCTTGAGATCTGTATCTGGCCCCAACCCTTCCCTTTCCCTGTCCCTCCCCTTCCTGGCTCCCATGGAGTGAGCAGCCTTCTGCCACCATGTCCTTGCCCAGGGCCCAAAAGCAAGGAGACCAACTGGCCGTGGATGAAAAGTTCTAAAACCATGAACTGAAATAAACCTTTCCTCCTTTGAGTGGTTTATCTCAGGTGTTTCGTAACAGCAACAAAAAGCTGAGTAACACAAGAGTCTTGGATGGACTCTAGCTGCTGTGTTACCTGAGATGGAAAGTTTGTGGCATGCATGCTGATAGCCCATGAATAGAAGGTCTTTTTTTTTTAAACATCAAAACTATTTTTCTTATGAAAGTACTATTATACTGATTTAAAACAGATACTTGGAATTCAAAAGATTAAAGAAAAAAGTTGATATTTTCATATTTACCCAAGGGTCTTATAATAACAAGTAGAGAATTTGGTCATGAGCTTTGGGATGGGAAAAGTAGGTACTTATGAAGAGGTTTGCACAAATGTCCAAGCTTGGATGTATTGTCTCTTCACAGGAGTCCTGAACTTTGAAGCATGTTCCTTGATCCTTTAGTTCTGTGATGAGGACATCTCATTGAACAGGGGTCTAAGTCACATAGAAAAAGTGTAATGCACTTGAAAGGTGCAGTAGCTCCTTGGAAACCTGGCCACCACTGGGGTCCTGGTAGTTGAGAATGAGTTTAGGCTGTGTGACAGAACTTATTTCTTCCAGGAATGAAAATCCAGAGCAAGACACCCTAAACAATGGTGCTGAGCTTTGGTGTGCAGCAATATCATCTGCAGGGCTTGTAAAACGGGTTTCTGAGTCTCACCCATTGGGTTTCCAACTCAGTGGATTTAGGCTGAGGCTAAAACTATGTGTTTCTAATTCTCCAGTGATGTTCATGCTGCACATCTGGTGCCCACACTGTCCTAACATGAAGAAGGCAGGAAATATGGCGCAAGTTCAGTTGCAGAGTTTGGGATCCCAGGGAGATGGAACAGCCCAAGCCCGAAAGCAATGGTGAGTTCTGTAGGGAGTTCCTGGGTGTGGTCCCTCCCTAACCCTGTCCCTGGGCCCATAAGTGGTGGAGACAGAATTTGAACCCAGCAAGTCAAGAACTGTGAAGGGTCTGAAGTTTTATTCTACTTGCTGTCTAACAAATTAGCCTCCTACACTTTCATGGATGCAGTGTAGACACCAATACTGCTGAGTCAGAGACAAAGAACAGTTTATTGCTTATAGCAGTAGTAGTAGCCAGAGTATCAGCATTTTCTTGTGCCATTTTCCTGAGCCTCAGTTCCCACAGGGCAACATAAAGAGAGCCAGCTGATACCTTAAATGTGGTGGATTAAGTTGTAGGAGAGGAAGTCTGATGTTAGGGAATGGGAATCTTTTATAATGGATAGAAAATATGTCTGGCCTCTTCTTTGGTAAAAGAGATACTGTATCTTCCAAATCTGTATGCTGTATAAAATTTCTAAAATGATAATCTGGAACAATGTTATTAAGTTCCTCTGCTTTGCTAGATGTGCAAAAACAGAGAGACCCGTGGATTTGTTTGTTAACAAGTCTGTGCTATTAACATCTATCCCAGGGAGTATGTATACTATGGTCCACCGGCTGAAAGCCTGTTTTCCTACTGCCAATGAGCTAAGAATGAGTTTTACATTGTTAGTGGGAAGAATATGTAACAGGGCTTTATGTGCCCTGCAAAGGGCAGAATATTTACTCTTGCCCTTTACAGACCATTCTGGCACCCAGATCTTGAACTTTAGGCCTCCATAATTGTAAGAAATAAATTTAGGTTGTTTATAAGCCACAAGGCAATGGTATTTTGTTACAGAGGCCTGAACTAAGACAGTGGATGGGTGGATGCGTGGATGCATGGATGGGTAGGTGGGTAGGTGAGTTATAAAAGTTTAAGCATCAGAATCTTGTCTTCTAGCTCTTTGGTCTTCCTTGCGTGGTTCTTTTCTGGTCTACCCATTTAGTCTCAACCTAATCCATTTCAGTCCTAAAAATTGGCTACTAATAAAATGCTAGGAACAGTGATGTTCAAACATATATAGTGAATAAAAAAAAAGAATCAATAACAGAATTTTAAATCTATAACTTAAACTTCTGGATATTCCAATGTGTATTGTTATAATTTTGTTTTTCATGAAACTTCCAAAGTCTCTAAAGTCTTTACATTTTTCAAAAAAAATCTTTATTCAAAATAAATTCTTTTCTGGAAGGCTGAGGCAGGCAGGACACAAGTTTTAGTTTAGCCCAGGCAACTTAGCGACTTAGTGATAGCCTATCTCAAAATTTAAAATTTTAAAAAAAGGCTAGGGATGTTGCTCAGTGTGAAGCCCCTGGGTTTGAGCCCCAGTACCACCAAAAAATTAATTAAATCTTGCTTATAAAAAAATTAAAATAGCTGGGCATGGTGACACACTTCTGTATTCCCAGCATTTGGGAGGCTGAGGCAGGAGGATCATTGGGAGCGAGAGACCAGCCTGGGCTACAAAGTGAGCTCAAGGCCGGCCTGAACTGCATAGCGAGACCCTGTCTCAAAAGACAAATAAATAAATAAATAAATAAATAAATAAATAAATAAATACAAAATATATAAAGTAGACTAACTTTTCCCTTTCTTACTATATTAATAGCATCATATATGTCTTTTAGATTTTTAAAAATGTGTATATTATCATTTACCCATGTAGAAATATGTCATTTAATTAACTGTTTAAAGTGGTTTATCATATATATAATCTTTCCCTAGAAAGCATATGGCAGACATCTTGGGGTTATTGTACTAAAGACTGTATATTTAGAAAATGTGCTGGTCATATCCTGTCTATTACCATAGCCCCAAGACTTCAGCAAAGGTAATTTTGATTGAAGTTTGTTCCCGTAGGGTCTTTACTTTAGATCTCCTGGGGTTAGAAGCTGAGCTGGTCTGGGGACATGGACCTGGGAGTAAGCCAGTAAGCCACAAAGAACATCTTGCATGAGGAAGAGAGGGGGTCCGTGTTGGTAAATATTCCTGGAGGAGAGGGCGGTCCTCTGAATGTGCATGCACAGCACATGGAGTGTGGCAGATCTTCCTTTCACAGGAAGAAGAATGGGTGTGTGTTAGTACTAAATGTAGCTCTCCCTTGTCAGACTTAGTAACCCCCAGTTCTTGAAAATGCCTGTGACACTTATGAGTCAACCGGGTATCCATAGATCACTGACTCATGCAGGATTTATGTGGCACAGAAAACCCATTGCCTCTGATGCTTTCTTTAAAAGTCAGAGCCCCCAAAGCTCCACCATCTAGGGAACAGGGCACAGAGGTACTGATTGATACCTCTGCACTGGGCTCCTCCCGGACCCACCTCTGCTCATCAGGAACCCTACAGCAAAAAGCAGTTATAGAATACTGTCCACCCTCTTTCCTTCCGAAGGCTGTTCTTAAAATCAGCTCAAACAGGAAAATAATAACTGTGATAGATTTGACCTTTGAAAAAGAAACATTAGATACTCCTTCTGGTAGCTGAGAAATTCAGTGCTGGCAACAAAATTATGTGAGTCACTGACAGGAAAGAGGCTGGTAGCTATAGCTCTACCAGTAAAAGTGATAAGAGGTTAAAAGACAGATTAAAATATTAATGTTAATGAGTCATATTATATGCTAATGCTTCATATTATATGCTAATGCTAAGTATTATATACTAATACTTTTATCTAAAATATAGAATAAAAATTGGTATTATTAATACTAATAGCTTTGCTTCCTAAACTTTAGTGTGCAGAACTGCAGATTGTATTTTCCTTTTGCCCAGCTCCAGTGTATTAGAATTGGGACAGGTAACCCGGTCACTACGAGCTTTCATCTCTTGAGCAGAATTAGACTTAAAGGGGGAAGTGGTAGGGTGGTCCGCACTCAGGGAGTAATCAGGAATCATTGTCATCTTGGTCCCCAATTTGCAAGGCAATATTGTAGATCAGTTTCTGACCAGTAAAATAGACTATGAAATGGACAACTATCTTAGTTACTTTTCTCATTGCTGCGACAAAATACCTGACACCCAAAGGTAAAGGAGGAAATGTTTGTTTAGTTCACAGTTTGTAGAGGTTTCAGTCCATAGTTGGTTGTCTCCAAGGCAGGGTGGTATGGCAGAGGGCATTGCAGAGGAGAAATGGTTCATGGCAGGCAGAAGGCAGTAAATGATCACAATAGCTCTGTTTCTGACCCTTATATTTTGTCCAGGCTACCTGCCCTTGGGGCGCAGTACCTTAATCCTAGCTTCACACAATGAATCAATTCCAGTAGCACTTCCTTAATCCTAGCATCACATACTCTAGATCCAGCCACCTCTGGAAAGCCCCACCTATGACTGCATAAGGCTTTGTGGGGACATCTAGGCACAAGCTCTAACATGAACCATAGAAGAAAGAACCTTTTAACAGTTACTATCACTAAACCCATCCCAGGCAGTCATAATTTTCAACAGTTTCGGTTGCTAATTCTTTTCTGAGTCAAAAGAACAAAGAACAACCAACTCAGTGGTAAGAAACAGAGGCAAATCATTCAATAACAAGGGTAAAGAAGTTATAACTTAGGAGTGTTACAGACAGTAAAACCTGGGTTTGGCCTTGGGTCAAAGCCTTTGTTTCAGTTAGCCATCATCCTAGCTGGACTTAGACCCCCTGGGCTCCCCACCATCTTGGATATATAATTGTGTCTTTATTTTCACCATGGGTTGCACTGGAAGTGATAGATTGGAATTAACTCACTAGAAGTCCAATAACTTTCCCTTGAGATTACAAATATAAATTTCACAGATTTTTTTTTTTTTCTTTTTGAGGCAGGGTCCCGCTGTGCAGTTCAGGCTGGCCTTGAGCTCACTTTGTAGCCCAGGCTGGTCTTGAAATCGCAATGATCCTCCTGCCTCAGCCTCCCGAGTGCTAGGATTACAGGCGTGTGCCACCACACCAGGCAAATTTCCCAGATCTTGGTGAGGACCAGGAAGGACTTTCTGTATTTGGTGCTCAGGATGATTAGAACGGCACAGTCTTCCCATCACAACAACCCCTATCCAGAATCAGGTTCTAGCAATCCAATGGACCTTGTGTGACCAATTTACAGGTAAGCAGAACATTTTTTACTAATTGTTCTCAGACACAAGTAGGAGTCTGTTTGTCAAGGGTAACAATGGAGCAAGCGCATTCCTGATCTGCAGAAAAGAAATAATTTAGCCTATTATGAAGCTGTTAAATGATGCAGCCATTAATGGGCCATCTAAGCAAGCTTTTTGATTACTCCATCAGATAGCTACGTTCTATCCTTCCTGTTTCAAAGCCTGTGTACTCTGAGAGTTTGGGATAAAATAGATGAAAGCCTTTATAAAGCTAAAACCCAGAATTAAAAATCCATCCACAAACTAGCTACGTGGTACCTAGTGAAGGCGGCTCTATTATCTTTGCAACATAACTTGGCAAAAAAAGCAGGTCAGTCACAGATTACCATCAGTGAAAACTCAAAATTGTGCTGACAAAATGCCTATGAATAAGGTAATTGAAAGAGAAAAGGATCCTGACTAACCATAAGGAAAGAATCAGATCACTACAGTAACGTGCCTCCTCTCAGAATGGATTGCTAGAGAAAAATGAAGCTTGTTTAAAGTTCAGATAATCATGTGTAGCTTTTGCAAGATATTCCTAAAGAAATGGGACACTTTTCCAATACTTTCACATACTCTACTTCTGCTCTCCACACCCAATTTGGAAGATATTGCTTCCACTGCAGTGCTTCCTATAGCCCTTCTCTCCCACATACCAAAGAGTCAGCTCAAAAACAACTCCCTCCTTCCCCACCTGAAAAAGAGACACAGTACCCATGGGATTCCATGTGCACAGCCACAATGTTTCCCGTCACTACAGAGACAGACCCAGACACAGCTTTTAACTTGTTATGATTAAAAAAGTTGAGGCAAAGCATTCTAGACAATGGAGTCCAGGCTCCATATACCATAAGCTTTTTGGAT